GTAGCCCAAGGCACACTACGATCAAGACAGGCAGGAATCTGGAGACGAGGTCTAGGTGCGGGGGGTACAGCCGAAGCGAGTTGTACGAGGCTCGGGTTTCAGGAGTTCAGGGTCAGGGTTCAGGGGTTCAAGAGGACGCCAGATAGTAGAGAGTGTAATTCCTAGGTACAGGTGTCCAAAGGAGATTACCAGATTGCGTAAAGAACATAAAGTATAAGGGGGCATACCCCCTTATATAGATAGGAAATCCTCCATGATCACTAATACAAAAGAAAGTCCTTGGCGTCGCGCGCAGCCGCGATCTTTCCGTCATGTTCCGCCAGGTTCCGTCGCGCGGCAACCTATCCCAATCATAATACAAAGGAAATCCTACAACGCAACCAACGAAACCACAGCCGATATATGCAACCAAAAGCCCAATGTTCCTCCGTGTCCAGCACGCCGGGTGGCCGTGACATCTTTACTCTGACAGAGTAATAACTTTGACACCAGATTCCGCAAGTGTCCTTTGGGCGCAGCCTCTCATACTTGGTGGCCCGATTTTGCATGATACCGGCTTTCCAATAGTACCCAGGATATTTACCTAGCACCCATATTGGTGGAGTTAAATCCTGTGATAGTAGTGGTCTTTACCTTGGCAGAGTTCAGGCAAGATTCTGGTGCAGTGCTGGCTTTGACGCGAGATTTCTCAGGTGTCATTTAGGCGCCACATCTGATACTAGGCAGCCAGATCACACTCAACGCCAGCCTTCTAACAGTACCTTGAATGTCTGCCTGGCATCAATATTGATAGAGTTACAGTCTGTTATGAAAGTAGTCTTTACCTTTGTGGAGTTCTGGCGGAGTACTATGTTTGACGCCAGATTCCCTGGGTGTTCTTTGATCGCAGTATCTCATACTCGGCAGCCTGATCTTACCCAACACAAGCTTTTCAATGGTACCTAGCAGCTCTACCTGGCGCCAACATCGGTGGAGTTACAGTCTGTTATAAAAGTGGTCTTTACCCTGGCAGAGTTTTGATAAAGTGCTGACTTTGATACGAGATTCCTTGGGTGTCCTTGGGGCACAGTATCTGATACTTAGTGGCCTGATTCTACTCAACACCAGCTTTCTAATGGTACTGCGGACGTCTATCCAGCGCCCATATTGGTAGAGTTATAGTTTGTTATGAAAGTGGTCTTTACCCTAGTAGAGTTCTGGCAGAGTTCTGGGGAAGTACTGACTTTGATGCAAGGTTGCTCAGGCATCCTTTAGGTGCAGGATGTGATACTCAGCAGCCTGATTCTACTCGATGCCAGCATTCTAATAGTACCTCAGACGTCTTTCCGGTGCCAATATTGGTGCAGTTATCACCTGTAAGGTAAGTGGTTTGGGCTGGATTTATAGCAAAGCATTGAAGGAGAGTGGTTTCTTTCTATACCATGTATTATAAAACCAACTTAAATACAATGAGAAATACTATTTATTTAAAAGGTTTCAGAACCTACATATGTGACCTGAGTCATAAGGTCTAATTCAGGTATTGCATCCTGTAAATCGCAGTAGTACTTGCTTGTATTCTGGCTGTGTCCTAAGTTCTGGCACCAAGGCTCGCTTCCATTCTGGTCATGTCCTAAGGTCTGGCACCAAGGCTCACTTGTATTGGGGCTACATCCTAAGTTCTGGTACTAAGGCTCACTTGTATTGGGACTGTATTCTGAGTTCTATCTAGCCCTGAGGACCGTTGTGTCCTAGTAAGTTCTGGCGCCAAGGACTATTGCATCCTGAGATTTGGTGGCTGCCATCTAGCATCCTGATTGATGGTTTGGATCCTGTGCATCCTGTGTGTCTGATGCGCAGGATGTACAGGACACAAGCTTTTATTTTTGCTGATGAATCTGAGGCTCCAAACTTGAATCTGGAGTTGAAATCACTTTGGCAACAGTTTCAGACTCTTCAGAACCAGAAGAGCCCTTGGTTTTGACATCAATTTGGTTTTCCATTGGACAAACTGAAACACTTGACTTAGAAGTAATATATGATTATACTCAGAAGATCTGAACGAATTGGATAGAAGGCATGCGATAAGTAAGAGACAGAAGAAATTGTTGGAGGACTTTGATTAAACTCCAGTTTGTGTCATCTATCTCACTATTTATCCTTGTCCCCTTTCTTGAATACAAAATATCATTGACCTTATTCTTTTGTCACAGTAAGACACTTACTCGGGATTCAAAGACCTCCGTGAACCTAACTACTCTTGCACAGTACTGAGATCCAGACAAAATCGCTAGATTTTAGTTGTAGGCAAACAAAAGTTGTGCTCGCAAACGTCATTGAATTAAGATATTTTATCATCATAGGTTTTATCGTTGCCTTTTCTTTCATCCTACTCGTTTATTAATCATGAATCCCTGTTGCCCTTTCCAAGTTTTTGGAGTTTTTATAGTTACTCAGAGATTTCAACCGGGATCTTGTCTTTCCGATGATCAGCGAACCCCTCTGTACTCGAGTACTCGAGTACACATGCACGGTTTGGGGACTCCCTGACAACCTGCTGAGTCAGCACAGGGAATTCACGGTTTCTCCACACATGGAAATTTCCGAAAATCTCTTCGATACCCCACCATCAACAACTGCCACCTTTTGTCTTTATTTTCCTCTTCTAATCTAACCATGGTGAGTCTATGTTCCGGATCGAGTCCCAACTGGAATACCCGTTGATGCGCATAATTATCAGAGCAATCCTACACAAATCTTTGGCGAGGACGTAACGGAGGAGAGGGGAGAAAATGCTCGTAAGTCATAATCTGCCCCACCATCGAAGATCCAACCAATGCAATGGTATCATGGGAGGGTGGGTGATTGACGAGAACGATAGGGCTTTCGGCATTCGTCGGTGCTATTGCTGTGGGGGATTTGGTGAAGACAACTCTAGGTCCTAAAGGGATGGATAAAATATTACAATCAGCGTGGGTATACGGGCCTTCCAGCCGTCAAAGAGCTTGGAAAATATTCCCCCCTTTTCCGGGTGATTTTCTGATGAGGGAGGCATAGTTCTACGGGAGAAATTATGGTCACGAATGACGGTGCTACAATCTTGAAGTCCATAGCTTTGGATAATGCCGCGGCGAAAGTGCTTGTCAACATTTCCAAGGTTCAGGATGATGAAGTTGGAGATGGGACGACCTCCGTCACTGTTTTGGCTGCAGAGTTACTTCGTGAGGCGGAGAAGCTTGTTGACCAGAAGGTACACCCGCAGACTGTCATCGACGGGTACAGGATTGCGTCGGCTTCAGCTCTTGATGCCCTAAAGAGAAGTGCCGTGGACAATAGGGGCAATGCGGAGAAATTTCGGGAAGACCTTCTGAGCATTGCTCGGACGACTTTGAGCTCCAAGGTCTTGAGCCAAGATAAGGAGCACTTTGCAAAGTTAGCCGTAGATGCGGTCTTGAGGTTGAAGGGAAGCACCAACCTGAACAACATTCAGATTATCAAGAAGGCCGGCGGAAAGCTCAGCGACTCTTACCTCGACGAAGGATTTATCTTGGATAAGAGGATTGGTATCAACCAACCGAAGAGACTTGAGAACGCGAAAATACTCGTAGCGAACACAGGTGGGTTCAGATCGGCCCCGTCACACTCCCGAAAAATACCTAACAAGTTGCTATAGCTATGGATACCGATAAGGTCAAGATTTTCGGTGCGAGGGTCAAGGTGGATTCTACGGGGAAGCTCGCCGAGCTCGAGAAAGCAGAGCGTGACAAGATGAAGGCAAAAGTTGAGAGGATTAAGGCTTATGGTATCAACTGCTTCGTAAATCGTCAGCTCATTTACAACTGGCCCGAGCAGTTGTTCGCCGATGCTGGCATAGTGTCAATTGAACATGCAGACTTTGACGGCATCGAACGTTTGGCTCTCGTAACCGGCGGTGAGATCACCTCTACCTTCGACCACCCAGATGCTGTTAAGCTTGGGCAGTGCGATCTGATCGAAGAGGTTATCATTGGCGAGGACACCCTCATCAAGTTTTCAGGAGTTGCGGCAGGTGAAGCATGCACGGTTGTTCTGAGAGGGGCAACTGAGCAACTTCTTGACGAGGCGGATAGATCTCTTCATGATGCCCTTTCCGTCCTATCCCAGACCGTCATAGAGACTAGGACCGTCCTTGGAGGCGGGTGTTCCGAAATGCTCATGTCCAAGGCTGTTGAGAATGCCGCACACAACACCCCCGGCAAAAAGGCCCTTGCTATCGAAGCCTACGCTAGAGCACTCCGACAGCTCCCCACCATTCTCGCAGACAATGCTGGTTTTGATAGCAGTGAACTTGTTTCCAAACTCAGGGCTGCTATCCACAACGGAATGTCTTGTTCCGGGCTGGATCTGTACTATCCCGGAGGTCGTATCAGCGACATGAGGGAGCTTGGAGTGGTAATATATATCCTTGCATTGCAAGATCAGATTCGGTGCTAATTATGTTTACACACAGATTGAGAGTTACAAGCTCAAGAGAGCCGTTGTTTCTTCCGCCTCCGAAGCTACCGAAATGTTGCTGAGAGTTGATAGTATTATCAGAGCTAAGCCAAGAGCTGTACGACCCCATACCTCATCCCCATCTATTGTGTTCTACACACTAATACTAGCTCCTACAGCGCGATCGACATTAATGGGGGAAATTGAGAACAGTTCCGGATGAAAAGCAATAGACTCCTCTTTTAACAGGACTTTTTATGTAATTGACATAGTAAATCAAAATTCCCGTTTCCAGTCATTCGGGCTTTCCATCATTCAAATAGTACAAATAGGAGTATAAATGTAGGTTATAGTGAATGTTGATGTTGCTATTGAAGAGTCGGATTTTCTGGAGACCCTCGGTATGAAAAGACAAGAAAGTAATTCTGTGGTATCGAGCCTTCTTCTTCTGTATGATAATTACCCCTCTTGGACGTACCATCATGCCGAGATATCCCACATCCAGCACGGTATTGATCCCGGCAGATCCATCAAGCTCGCTGTGACCACTTGTATAGGGATGGGCATGACTGCAGTGGGAAGCTACTGTGAGAAAAATCCCCTCTCCTAGGGAAACAGAGGGCACAACTGCCTTCCGCCCGCCCTCCCAGCTCTCTTCAGAATATTTTTCTTCTGAGGTATCATATCACGGGGAGCATCGGTTGAAAGCCAAGGTAAAGCCCAATTGTCCACGTCTTTCTTCACTATCGCTATTACCGGTAGCAATTGAGTAGGCGCATTCCCCCAAACATCCGTCTCACAATGCATGCCATGCTCCAAGCCCCCCTAGATCACCAATTCCAGGGGGCAAAAATATGGTTACTGTATGTATGTCGGTCCCCTCTGACACTGTTCAAGGCAACGGTAAAAATAAATAAATAAACTCCCAGCCAGTTCTTAATGGAGATCAGGTAATTCCTCTGTGCGTCGTGAAATCACAAGAGAACAACCGAACCCCGCCCGTCGAAAGGATTCCGAACAAACAAGGCCTATGCAACTTGCACTGTCTTTGTGAACGCAGTAGATTTCTGAGGGAAAAGAAGAAGGAAAGTTTCCAGGATGGGAGGGAAGTGGAACCGCTCTCTTATAGTTGCTTGGCTGTCAAGGGGGGGGTTACCCTACCTTCTATTGTAACTTATGCCAAAGATCGAAATCTTTGAGGGTGAGTTCGAGATTCGCAGATACCATAGTAAATTTACAGGTTACCGTATTGCAGGTTTCGCCTGCACCAATCTTTTTTTTTTTACCTTCCCCTCCTCCCCCTCTCCCAATCCCTCTTTCTCGAGTTGAATTGCTCAAGCCAAGGTTACCCACCGGTCCACCCCGCCCGCCGCACCCATCTGTCAATCTACCCTCCGAGCGAACGCATAAAGGCGAAGAACAGGGAGGGGGGATGGACGACACAATATACTCGACAAGTACACAGCACAGACTATTCACCTTCACGCCAAAGCAACTCTCCGACCTGCGCTATGCCACCAACAAAGTCGCGACTGAGAAGATTACAGAATCGATAAAGCGACGGGCGGCTGCAACGGGGATTGTCGAGTCGGGGGTTGAAGAGATCGATTGCCCGACAGCGGAAGAGGAGTTGAAGCTCGTTGCATATTACTGCGTGAAGTGTATGCAATTATCAGATCACTTCCAGTTTCCCAGTAACGTCAAGGTATACTCCCCCCCAACCCTCCCCCCTCCCCCACTACTACAGAGATAATTGACATAAAGCTATAGGCGACGGCTCTGACATTCCTCCACCGCCTGTACCTGACAACCTCCACCCTCACCCTGCACCCAAAAAAACTCCTATTGCCGATCTTATACCTAGCAACAAAGACAGAGAACCACTACACCCCCATAAAATCCTTCATAGATGCGGCCGCGACGGCGGGTCCCAAAGTGACGAAAGAAGACCTCCTGGACCCCGAATTCACAATAGCGATGGGCCTACGCTGGGCCTTTCAGGTCTGGCACCCCTTCCGTGGCCTGGAGGGCATATTCCTGGAACTCAACGCTATAGCAGCGGGCCACTACCAACCGCCCAAACCAAAAGAGAACCTCGTCCTGCCTGCTGCTGAGGCTAAAGTCACACTTCTAGAGCTCTTAGCGGGGGACATGGACAGGATCGGACGAGCGCACGGGGAGGCGAGAAGGCTGCTAACCACCACGGCCCTCCTGACGGACGTCTACTTCCTCTACACCCCACCGCAGATCAGCTTTGGCGCCTTCCTGGAGGCTGACAGGGAGCTCGCTACTTTCTACCTCGACATCAAGTTCCCTGAGAGCGACCTGGCCGGGGGAAAGGCCAAGGCGAAGCTCCTGGGCGTGCTGGACGAGATTGCCAAGAATCACCTCTCCGCTGGCCTGTCCGGGGAGTCGAAAAATCCATATCAGGGCTTACTCCTCCAGTTGCCGCAGAACGGGATTACAACTTCCCTCGCTATGTCTGTGGACCCTGGGCTCGTCAAGGAGGTTACCAGGATCGACAAGAAGCTCTACCGCGTCACTAAGAGGGATCAAGATAGTGCTGGGAAGAAGAAGCCAGAGGAGGGGAATGCGAACGGCGGTCAGACTGGTAACGGGAATGGCAGCGGAAACGGAAAGTACGACGAGGACGAGGAACGGCGTGCCAAGAAGCGCAGGCTAGAGAGGGAAAAGGCGGAGCGCGAGGGGGATGTTTTCGGCGCTAGTCTGTCGGATGTCAAGACTGCGGGTGCGGGGTCTTTTTAGATCACGGGTGTTTGGTTATTATTCAGGGCTTTTTTTCTTCTTCGCATTCTGGCACGATACATGGGAACGCTGGAGGGGAACTGTACCATACAATCTGGAGTAGTTTGGGCCTTTTTGACTCCACTAAAAACTTGGAAATTCATACAGTAGTTCTACTTTTTCAACTTTCTACTGTCTAGAGAATAAGAAAATAATATGAGGGCGTCCCGAGTGGTATGATATGAGAAGAAAATTGGTGCTTACCGTTCCAGATCACGAGTGACGACCTATGATCTTGTAACAATCTAACAAATATTCTTAACCGCCTGAATGTTATTAGAAGTTATACCGCGTCACACCAATCACCGACTGCGGTCTCCAAAGTAGCAAACCAAAAAGCTAAAGCGATCCCAACCCAACGCCATATCTCCTGCCTCCGGCAGATTGTCAAATAAAGAGAAAAAAGAGAGGGAATAAAGAAGAAAATGGTACGGGGAAAAGAGAGAAGAAAAAGTCAAGATATACAGCACCCAATTCCATACATAGCCCTCTCGACCTCCTTCTTAACCCTGTACCAATCCTCCCGTCGGGTAGCATACTCATACACCTCCTCGACCCTAAATATCCCGCCAAACCGATTCGGATCTGCGATCACGGTCGCCATTTGTTTCGCATGCGATGGGTCGATGAGGTATATCTGCGAGAGTTCGCGGAGGGCGTTGAAGTATGGCACCAGCGGCTTGATTTTCAGCGTTGTTATGTAGGCGTGGTAATGGTTCAAGTCGCTTGCCACCATCAGTTAGAATTTTGATTGTGATTATTGAGGAATCCTTTTTTCTTTTCCTCCCTTTTCTTGTTTTGGAGGGCAAGGGGAGGGGAGGTAAAACCTGATTAGTTTCACGGCACCATCGACGCTGATGCGTTGACGCTTGATATGCTTGCACAGGGAGGCGAAGAGTCGAATCCCGACTTCTTGATTGAAAACGTCTAGGACGTTCTTGTCCGTGCTGCCGGTAAGAAGCTTTGTGTGGGAAGATACGACCTCTATCACTCGTATCGCGGTCTTGGTAGGGCCTATGTCGAAGTCTCGAAGCCCTGCGTCACCAATGGCGCCGGGGTTGAAGTCTGTGGCTTGCTGGGTTATTGCGAAAAGGTGGTCTGCTTCATCCATTAGGACCTACGGGGTATGAAATTAGTATATGTATATGATTGGATTATGACTTCAGGTGTATCACATCTATTCCCATATTTAATCCGGCGGCGACTCTTTCGTCGAGCATCTGCTCGAACCGCTTCTTTTCCTTAGCGGCGGGGTTTAGGAAATCTCTGGGATCTGTAAGCTTTGTTGCTACGAGCTCTTGCTCGTAAAATACGTCTATCATTTGTTGGATAAGATCACCGACGTTGACTAACTCTAAAAATGTAACTAGAGGTGCCACTCCGGGTTGAGAGTGCTCCGTGATTTCTCGGGGGTTATATTTCGATAGATGCTCGACAGCTTTGTCAAAACCAGCCTTCACGTGCCGCGGGCCTAGTACTTGAAGTAGCGCAATGAATATCTGCTCGCATTGCTCACGGCTACCATGTGTTAGTCTCGCATCTGACCGAGGAGAGTGAGCTACCTACGCTTCTTCTCCGGTCTGCCCGCCGGCACTAGTAAACAACGCGGCTCTCTCAAGACTAGATTTAGCAGAATGCACCAGGTTCAACGCAACTTCCAGACTGAACAATGACCGAATTCCCTCCAGTCTAGAATTCATGATCGCTGCCTTTGCAGCCAATTCAGTGGTTGGTAGTGGCCCAGGGGTGGCCTGCCCTGCGGTCATGGGTGCGGCGGGACGAGACGCGTTGGGGGTCTCCAGCCCGCCCGGTGTGTTCGAATTCGCATATGGGCTTGACTCGGCAGGTTTTGTCTCAGTAGCAGAAGCGGGTTTGGCTGAGAAGGGGGACGGAATAACCGAAACGGGCATGAGAATAACCTTTTTGAATGTTGATAGAAAATCTCGCTTATCTGCCTCTCGGTTGATATTGCTCATGAAAAATGATTCGGTGGCTGCGTCCTTTTCCACAATCTTAAAGACTAGTCAGCATCCTATATCGACAGACACCGGATAATCGGCTTACCTTCTTTTCCCATGAGTCAACTTCTGCTTCGCACTTCTTTCGGAAGTAGTCTAGCTCGTCCTGCAGGTAGAGATCCACGTGTGCCTCAAAAACCCGGCCCATAATCTTCATCGCCTCTTCGGGGAAGTTCTCCCCGGAGCCTTTAGTTGCCTTAACAGTCTTGGCAAATTCGAGCAATCGATGATAGATTCCAGCCACAGCCTTTAGATACTGCTCGATATCGCGATCATGAGCTTCGTCGAGAATCGGAGTAACAAACTCGCTGATAACATCTTCTGCAACCCGCTCTAAGAAAGGAATCATAACATTGACAGTCGCAGGAAATACCCTGTCAATAACATCTGCTTGCTCAAGGAGAAGCGCAGAGAGCCGGGTGAAGAAAAGTAACGAAGGTTCTAACGAAAAGGAACCAGGCATCGGTTTACTGCAAATTCATTAGAAAACTACCAATCTAGGGGCAAGACGTGCTCTGACTCGAAGCTATCCATTGGATTCCCCAGCTCCCCACGTTCGAACATGACGGGATGCTTCTGAACAAACAATTGGACACATGCCTGGCCGCCGTTGAGGAGGATGAGGACATTGGCATAACGTCTCATGCGTCCGTCGATATCCCCAGTCTCGTATCCTCTATGATAGTTAGCCGCATGGCCCTCTCCACGTTGGGCTGAGAAGCTGACCCCTCAAATTCTCTCAGGGCTGCATTCTCAAAAATCCCAATCATGAGATTCAGCCTCTCCAGCCTATCCATCCACCCGTGTGCCGTATCACACTGCGCGAAGACCTTCAATTGCCCAAGTATCTGCGCCTGCTGTTCGGGATCCCGATATATCCTGAAAACGACTGGATCGGTATGAGTCTTCGCCTTGGCAAGGTCAAAATATAATGGCCCCAGTGCCGCATAGATCTTCCCAAACTCATGCCTGGCGAACCCTCTAATGGACTTTATCGATGGCAAGACTTTTAGTAATGAGCTTGGGTCCGCCATACTAGGCCTCGGTGTATCAATCGGCTTCAGCGGAGCAAGGTTCATGAGGTCAATCCCCTCCGTTATCGTGCCTGCAACCGTCCGCCTCTTTGCATCTAGCTCCGCCCTTCGTATGCTAGCTTCCCGTTGAACCTGAACTCTATGGTCCTCTTCCCCGGCATCAAATAGAGTCAAAGACCCACCCACTCCAGGAGCAGAAGGCCGACCGGCTGGGCCAGTATTCAGAGTTTTGGGCCCATTTTGCAAAGCCTTCCTTTCCTCCTCCGCCGCTCTTGCAGCTTGGACAGCCCTCCTCCGACGCATTGCATCTTCAAACCGGCGGCGTGCTTCCATTTCGTTCCAGATACCCATCAGCTTTAGCTTATGCACCCATCGGCTATCATCGTAGACCATCTCCTGTAACCGTTTAGATACCCGGGCAAACCTGCACAGGTCTTGAACGGGGAGGTATTCCAGTATTGTCGAGATGATTTCTAGCCTCGGATCCAGCATTAGCATCACCCCCTTCGCTAGGGATAGCATTCAAGGAGCCGACAAACCAAGAGGAAGAACCGGCTTCCGGGCAGTGCCTTTCAACGGCGCGATGCGTACGGGATTCAGGAACTCCATTTTGGCTGTAGGCATCGAATACCTTGCAGCTTTGGGGGGTTGAGTGGGCGGCATGATGAGAAGGTATGCCGGGGTAATTCCCGGAAGTCCAAATTTGTTCGTTTACGTGACGAAGGTTTGTTGTTGATGGGAACGGGGGGTTAATGTTAAATGATGGGGAGTTTTGCATCCTGCCACATGAAAGCTTGGGTTTGTTGCTAGAGCCAAGGCCACTCAAATTGAATGGGGAGACAGAGCCGCCATCCGCGGCAATACCCACACCCACTTTAAAATAACTACCAGTACGAGTACATTTTAATCCAGCACCATACAAATTTTGTATAATACGTTAGATGTGCCTCACAGCGGAGACAAACTTAGTGCCCCGGAATCGCACCAAACAGATTTCACGACCCAAGCACGGTAACCATTGGCATTCTCTAAATAACTCACATCTGTAGATGCAAAGTATTGGCATTGCCATTATTTCCACGTTTTCAGAGGGCTTGAATCACTTCAACCGGGTATGGTATTATAAAGTAGGAGGACAAAAGTTTTGGCGTATCGCCCTTTTCACACCAAAAGTGGCCATTCTTGCAATCACACAAAGATCCCATTTTCCACCTCAATTGAGTATCTACCACCTCTAACTATTGGGGGCACATCTTGGCTTCGTGATATTGAAATTTCAACCAAATCAGACTCATATTGTATTGTTGATGGGCCTGGGAAAATCACAATAAAAATATTTCAGTACCTTTTTGTATGGGCTTCCATATAAATTGGGAGGCTTGGCACTCACAATTCAGTGACTCTCCCTTTACTTGCCAGTGCAAGGACCAATCCATAATTGATTGTGGCTAAAGTAATGTTGACTGAATCACTGAGTCCCTGAATACCTGCAGCGGAGGTTTGGTAATCTTTGGTACTGAGGTGCTTGCGGCACCATCAATATTGTAAGGCTCTTACTTTTACTTCCCTTATTTTGCTGTATTCTGGCTGGCACTTTACGGCCGCGCCAAAACTTCTGTCCTAGTACTGTACCTTGCGGGAAGAGCGCGGGTATGAGAACAGCATCGTGGATAGTCCTCCACCAATCCATTCCATGTCCTCTCGTTCCAAAATCAAACCCACTCTCTCCATAGGGCAAAAGAATCAGACCGACCCATGACTACCCCTCATGATTCAATACGGAATGCTAGCGCTACAATACTGGCACCAACAGCCCCAAACTATTTCTAATATTTCTCCCTCCCGGCCCGAACTGCTGAAATTCGATAACTACAGGCTCCGTGTCGCTAGGTTATAGGTTCGGATATAATACACAGCACGGTGCGGCAACGCAGCAAAAAGGAAAAAAACAGCCCAAATAATCTAACATTTTCGCCATTACTGCTGCTTCTTCTGGGCCGCCGGTCCCATCTCCTTCTCGAATGCACCATAGGTAACTGTCAGACTGGAGACTGAGCTAATCGCAACGTAGAGAATAGCCAAGAGAAAGAATCCCGCAAGGTAGCCCATGAAAATGCCCGGAGTAAAGAACTGATATCGTGAGAACAAGCTACCAACAGCGGGTCGTGTAGTATTTTTGGGATCTTCACGACGTCTAAGCTCGCCCGAAGGAGTTGATTGGATGTTAAACTGGGTGGAGAGGGGGGTGGTTGTGTATATAAGTGTGTATCTCGATGTAGGGATAAGCGAAATGATGGATTGTAGGAAAGAGTCTGTAGCGATTAGAATAGTGCCCATGAAAATTCCATAGGTCCAGCACTCACCATTCTCTCTCAATGCCTTCATCCTGGCCTTTCTCTCTGTGGGTAACTCGGCAAAGTCGACGCGAATAACCTTCGGCTTCATATCATTAAATCCGCCAAACGAGCCCGCTAGCACATGTTAACTTCACATAACCTCCCCGCATCCCACACCCCAAGAAACACATACTCTTCGCGTCAACCTCCTCGATCTCAGCATCACACATCTCCTCAGCATACCTCGCCATTATCTCCGTAAGGCTCTCCGCATCCACGTCCTGTTCATAGACGTTATCCACCGTAAACGAGCTTCCCTCTGCGGCCTGTGAGGCCGCATAGAGGGTAGGAGCGGCTTTGGAAGAGGCGAAATCGCTTGCGTGGGCTCCGGACTGTTGGACGAGGATATAGGCCTCAGACGCGCATAGTTTTATGATATCCCGGGAGATCGAGGAAACCACTGCTGTTGTGGCTATCTGAGAGGAAGCGCTCGGCTTCTCGAACCTGAATGTGGGTTAAAGGGGGGCTGGGTGCGAGACTTGTGGGGAGGGGGGGGCGGAAAGACTGACTTTGAAGAGGAGTATAGGATAAATGGGGAAGTGTCTTGAAAAGCGGTAGCGATGGGCAAGCTTAATGCCACGAGGAGTTGTATTCTCTTGCAGTTGAAATGCATTGTCAAGAAGTTGCAGGTTGTTGTTCCTGTCCACCGGATGCCAGAGAACTCGCGATGGTGAGGGAGCATGATATTCGCCAAGGCGCCACGCTTGGCACGGCTTGTGGTGAGCTCCATACTCATACCCGATCACCCAACGTTCCTAGCCCCCCTCCTTACCCGCGCATGGTGTCCCACACTTCGCCGCTGGCGTCAACAGGGTGTTCACCCGTACTCGTACTAGTACCGAGGTTGTGGCTCAGAAGCCACAACCTAGGCTGTTTGCTTGCTCGCAACCTTGGGCACTCTCAAGAGAGTGCCTAACAGCTTAACATGACTTTGTGGCTTACCTGTCACGGCTACGAGGGTTGAGTTAGCACGGTTACCATGCAGGGATTTCCTTTGTGGCAGAGGGGTTGGGTGTCTTGCAGGATTGGTTGTTAACTTGTGTGACAGAAAGTGATGGAAGCAGATGGACACACCTGTTAGGCGGCAGCCAATTCTAAGTCAAAATGAATTGTAACTGAGGCCAATAAGGTTTCTCAGAGAATGGTCATAATAAAAGTAGGTATTAAAGTATAAGAAATACATTAATAAGATCTCTTTTCCATTCACTGATAGTTCTGAAGGCTAGGGATTTTTTTTTTTTGTTTAACTCATATATTCTTTGGTAAGGTATAAGAACCTGCATGGAGTGCTAGCTATAGCAAAAGCAAAACTATAATATCAAAAACAACAAACAGTAATGAAATACTACCATCAACAAGCCCCACTTGTAAGTAATTCAACCCACTGCACCTAACACAGCAACTAGTTATGAACGAAAAAATAGGTTCCCACCTTCATGGAAGAAACACCAAGTAAGGAAAGACAAAAATAGAAATGTACTCAGAAAGAAAAACTCTTGTCAAGGCCCTTCAATCCAGATCAGGGTTGTTGCTGGGCCAGGCCTGCACACTATCTATTGAGGGGGGAAAGTTGGTTCTAGTCTCAGAAATATATCGTGCTAGGCCCTATAAGGGGTCTTTGCTGACCCAGAGAGGAGCCTTGTAGTCTAAGATAGCAACTCCCAAGATGTGGAGTAGCTGTACTAAGAGGGACTTTGAATGACTAAGCAGGATGGCCTATTGCATAGTCTCTGGCCCAAGGCCACAGATGGGGCAGAAGGTGGACTTGTCTGGGTTGTTCAACAGGGTATGGATGACTAGATAGCTCTTTTCTACCTCTTATTTGCTAGTAAGATATCGTGCTTACAACAAAGTAGTCAAGGCCCTTGAAGGAATACGGGGCTTCAGGTAGCGGGTAAGCATAGTACTGGAGAGGGGGGGCCTGCAGGCTCCAGTTATATAGGAGAAGAGACCTGGTGGTGGTTTTCAGCAAGGAGTAGCTTTGTGGAAAGGCGAGGGTATGGGTGGTACCTGGAACTAGGTGCCAGTTCAAACCTAGCAGGGGTCGCTTATGGAGGATTGAGGTAAGGGAGTGAGGGAGCAATGTTATCAATAGGAAGGTGAGAGTGGACTGCTGGGAAAGGTCTAGGAGTCTTCCAGCAAAGAGGGTAGCTATTGTCCTTCAATCTAACTAAGAGGGCACAGTTGGAATCTACAACTTGTTTTGCCAAGGGCAAAGGGAAGGAGAGGGGGAGTCTAATAGAGGTAGAGTTAATTTTAGAAGGTGAGCAGGCCAATCTTAGGGCTGCTATGGTGTATCTGTGAAGGAGTAGTACCACTAAGAGGGGGATGCTGGCCTCGCAGGGGAGGATAGAGGTAGAGGTAGAATGGAAGTAGTTGGTCTCCCATCGAAGGACCCTGTTCTAGAAGACCTCTATCTTATGGAGTGTGATGGCGTTGGGTATGAACAAGTCAGTCCTGTAGCTAAGAATTAAGAGGATAAGACCTATGGCCAATTTGCTATTAAGATATGGAGAAAGGCTCCAGCTTAGAGGGGAGAGCTATTTGACAATAACAGATGTGCCTTGGATAAAGGCCAGCTGCTTCATAAAGTAAGGAGTAGTTTCTTGGCTAAGAGTAAACTAGTAGCTGAGGTAGTGGACCTCAGGCAGCCTGGAAGAGTAGAAGAGAACTCCATCTAAGGAGACTGGCACCATGCAGTACAGTCTATGATCTCTCAGGGTTTTCTGTTGGGTAAGCTCCATCTTAGGTATAGAGAAGGATATGCCTATTATGTTCACCCTCCACTTTAGAGTCTAAAAGTAGTGCTGTAGAAGCTGCATGTTATACCTATGAGAAGGAGAATCCATAGTAACAGTAAAGTCATCAATATAGGAAAATATTAATCTCCTTAAGGATAGTCAAGTGAAGAAGAGATATATAAATGAAAAACAAGAGAGAAGTAAAAGAAGACCCCTGTGGGGCTTCCACCTAAACTAACGAAAACATATTTGGGCTTATTAAAAGAGAAGATACTAACAATATCTGTTAGGAAGGAAAGATTGAACCCAGGTCCAGATATCTGGTGGCAATGCTCTGGACATCAAGAAATTGGTTAGTACTGAGCAGTCAATATTGTTGAACCCCTCTTTGATGATAAGAAAGAGTATAAAAGCCTTGAGGCTGGGCCTCTATAGGCAGGAAACTTCATGGGAGAGGGTGGCACAGGTATTATAGGTACTAAGACCTGGGAGTGACTCACACCAGTTAGGATTGATCAGGCCATGAGCGTGGATGATCAGGGAGAGGTGGGAGGTAATAATATACTCTAGGAGCTTAGATAACCTTAGCCCTTCTTGTACAATTTTTCCCTGCTCCTCCTCTATTTCCTTTCCCTTCTTTTCTTCTCCTACCAGTTCATGAAGTTTAAGGCATCATGCTTGCTGAAGTCTCTGTGGTCCTTTGGCCTTCCTCTTTAACCTCTGCACTTAAACCAGATTCTATCCCATATGGGATGTGGAAGAAGGTTCACCATGCGAATGATTACCTCCGTCCAGCCCTTCTCAACCTGCTGCTGGCCCAGGTCTATCACCCATCCTCTATGAAGAGAGCGAATAGGTTGGTCCTAAATAAGTGTCAAGAATCCTACCGAGCAGGACCGAGTGACAGGTAACGATACTTCTCTTGATGTAAGGTGATAGTTCTCAGACCTGTGCCTACGCGATCCCGATAGTCCAGTCCTACGACTACTATCCTGTTCGCGCCTATCTCCTTATTCTTCTCCTTAGTCCTTGATTAAGACTTATTCTCTCCTCGTGGGAGGAAAGACAATTCTTGAGTTTCTTAAGATAAATCTTAAAGAGTGTAAAGATAGGTTTTATTAATAATAACTTAAAGGTAGGAAATAAACAAGAAGAACGTGTGAAGAGCTAATACTAGGGGTCCTAGTGACCCTTTATATAGTAGCTCTTCTCCTGGCGTGACTCATACTTATGCGTTACGCGAACCTTGTGACTCATAACTATGAGTCACGCGAAATCCATCAGCCGACTCCTATGAGTTACTGCGCAACATACCTAAAACCAATCAAAATATAATAACCAAGTCAGGTGCGCAACTCACGTCACCTGAGTGAAACCCATGACTCATAAGTATGAGTCATGTGTGAAAATCATAACATCATGTGACTCACAACTGTGAGTCACGGACAGGTAAACATAATAACCTATGGCGCACTAGTGTGCGTTATGTGAAATTCCAACATACCTATAGTTCGGAATTGCGAGCTATGTAAAATCTGCTTTGCTTAGTCACAGTCTGTGACAATAAGCCACGAACGCCTGACCATCCTTCTTCTTTTTCTTTTCCAATACTAGTTCTGCTCGAGAATGTATCCAAGATCCTCAAGCAGATTATGGCTCTGTACCTTGCTTCTGTAGCCCGTTTTAAAGGACTACATAACTTATATCAATGTGGATCACTGGCTGCACTCAGCTGCTCTGATGCGATATCTACTGTTTGCCATGACGTCAATCTTTTTCAACCTAAGGGCCTCTGCATTTTCTTGCTTATCCTGAACATGAAGGGTGGCTTCAATAATGTTAACAGGAACTAGCTCACTACTATTCTTAGACCCACTTAAGTTCTATCCTACTTGGAAGCATGGGTAACTTCTTTTCTTTCTCAGCATAAGTGTTGCCGGGTTTTCCAAGAGACCCTCGATATGTTCTCCACTGTTTCTGTAGGTACCCTCCAGAGTCACCGATTTCTCTATTGTCATTTCTTACGTATGTTTTCTCTTTTTATCACGTTATTCCTAGTAGCTTAATAGTTTCCTATGTGGATGAATTTTCTGTTACTATAGTTTCTCTTGTCTATTATGATAATGTTTACTTCCTTTAGTAGTACTTTCACATACTAGAGAGGGTGGAGCAGTGATTAGGAGTTTTCTTTTCTGTTCCTAAAATCAATCTACTCTACTTGTACATGCCTAGAAATAAGTACCCCATGTATTCTCTGCCTGTCGGCCTTAGTGGCTTGATTTTTTTACCTCGGTTCTAGGTACAGTAGCTCAGCTATTGGCTCACCCCTACCATAGATACTATTCCTCACTTCACATGGCACCTGGCCCTTACTCAGGCCTCATTTGTACTGGTTCCCTGCCTCAGCAGCCCTGAAGGGAGTTTGTCTCTATAGTACAACTGCAAGCTTATAGTAGGTGTGCCCCTACCCATCCTCACTTTTGGGGGCCACTGCTTTGCCCCTAATGCAACTATGCCTCAAAAGCTCAATTCGTTTTAGCACTATATTTTACGATAGGTAACCAACTGCTTCTACTCTACACCTATTTTAGTCCTTCATTGTGAAGCCTCTGTTCCTCTGCTTAGTGAGATTCCACTGTACAAGCATTGGGCAGCTGCTCTTAGAGTAGCATGTTCTGCTCCCTCTATCAACCTTGCTACAGTTCTCCTCTATCCTTAGGTTCCAACCTGGAACAGGTAGTAGATCCCTTCAAACTAGTCTCTTCTGAAGGGCCTTACTAGTGAAGAGTACATACTGCTGTCACTCTGGTACTTACCCCCTCTCCCCACTACAAACATTTCCTACTCAATATAGTCATGCACTGAATAAAGTTTCTTCTGCTGGCTGTCCTCTCCTTGGCTTTCCCTTACCTGATTACTCCTTACAGCTACAAAACCCTGGGCTCTCTGTTATACTACAGTCTGAAATCAAATTTAAAAAAAATCTCTATTAGTGGGATAGCTAAAGTCCAAGCCGCCATAACCTCTTTACCAGTTTCTGCCCTCTACAACCCCTTGTGCCTTCATGGGCCTCCTGAGGTTCATGGTAGGTTGTCTCTATCAGATGTGGTCAGGAAAAGGTTACCTGGCTGCTCACAAGTCATGGTACTCTAGTGATAAACCTTTACTCTGTCCTCTCTGCAAAGAGGTTGAGGAAGAC